AGTGGCATTTTTGCAAATGAACACTCCTAAGTGTCATTCTTGCAAATGTATACTCCAAAAATGACATTTTTACAATTATCTCCATTATAATATAGTTGTTAGTTTTATTTATTTTTTGCAAATCATCTAAACCGTTTAAATTATTTTACTAAAATTATTTAGTTCACAAAATGTTTATATTTTTGCTTAAATCCTATTTTAAATTATAAACACAATTGCTATGTTAGTAAAATTCTCACTTATTATTTTTTTTTTTGAAAAAGAAAATTTCACTTATTTGTAACAATCGTCATTATGTTTGATTATGTATGCTAGTTTTAAATATTGTAAAATGATACTAGCATGAAAAGATTTTATTAAATAAGAATGGTAAATAAACTACACCGCTAGTTTTCAATATCGTAAAATGATGAATATGTACTCGGCCATGTTATGTCTTAGACCATCTCCAATGTATTTCTCTATATTTGATTCTAAAATAAAATAAAAAATAACATTTTTCTATTTTTACTCTAATGTATTTTTATTTTAAAGTTATAAATAGAAATGAGTTAAAGAAAAAATAAAATATTGTTTTTTTTTTTTAAATATAGGGATGGATTGGAGATTTCTTAAAAAAAAAAAGAAGTTTGAAAACATCGATTAAATTAAATGTCTGTGCCACCATTAATTATGAGGCATTAAGGGATGAAAGTGCAATATATTATTTCGTTTTTGGGTCTAAATGTAAAGAGTGTAAAGAAGCTGATCTTTTTTTTGATAAAAGCTATCAGCTGGTAATTTTTTGGTCAACTATGAACTATCAGTACAATTGAGATTTTAATAATATTTTTTTTATGACTATGCACCACGTTTGAGATTGCCATTTTTTTTAAGATTGCCCTTTTACCAGCACTGATAATAATATTTTTCATATATAATAAATAATGATGTGAACTCAAAAACGTAATCAAAACTTGTTCACATTTGACCCCTTACTATATATATACACTCATACAGTCTCTTTCACAAAACCACAACAAAAGAGCCAATTGCCAAATTAAGCTCACACCTATTATCAAACGTCGCCGTTTCATTACTTTTTGGCCAACCTCCTCGTTTTGAAATCCTTTGCAACAACAATGCATCGTGTTCATGCAATCCAAGCTTTTCTCGTCCTTGTTCTCTGTTCTTCCATTGCTTCTGCTGCTATCGTCGAACATGTTTTCCACGTACGTATTTACCATTTCACCACTCTCTCTTTTTTCTTTTTTTTTCTCCTTCTTCTTTTGACATTACCAATTATTTCTTGTGCATATTCACCATTTTCTTCTTCTTATTTGTTCATTTTGTATATTAAATTAGTAATAATGAGAATAAATCAACTCAACGAGACAACGACATTACACCATTTCAACAAATTGTCCATACTATATAATATACAAGTCTCTATTTTCTAAAAACTGAAAAGATGGTAGGCATGCCTGTATTTTCCTCCCACTAAAAACCAAAAAAAAACTTCCGTATTTGGTGGATCTAAAGTAAGATCTTACTGCCCCAAGATTTACTATATTTCTATAGTCTGTATTATTCAAACATTTCTCGTATATTGAGCATGCAACTTGCCAGCATTTACTTTTGTAGTCACCTTGTAAACTGCAAACGTAATTAAATGGAAGGTTTTCAAGAATTTTGTTACTAAAAATTTAAAATGAATTTACAATCTAATCATTTTATACTTTTAGTTCACGCGAAAGCACAACAGACAGTTTAGATTTGTATATTCTTTTAACTAAGCTATAAACGGAAATCTAATATATATATGACATGACAATATTAACGGCGTGTGATTACAGGTCGGAAACGTCTTGGTAAAACCGCTGTGCAATGAGCAAATGATACCGGCGGTTAACGGAACTCTTCCCGGTCCAACGATAAAAGTTAGAGAAGGAGACACTCTTGTGGTTCATGTCATCAACAATTCAACTTACAATATAACCATCCATTGGTAATTAACTAACATATTCATCTTTGTTAGGTA